ACTGCGCATGTGTTGTATGCGCCCAAAATCCCCAAAGGAGGGAGACATGGAGAAGGGGTTGCAGCATGACCATGTCCCATGGTAGGTATAAGATTTCTCACTTTCTTACTCTGTCTTTCTCTGGCATGCATGCACCCTCTGGCAATTTTTTTTTTAAATTACCCTTACAGGGAAATAAAGAGTCTTAAAACACACACACACACACACACACACACACACACACACACAGATTGCCTTCTAAATCAGATCCTTAGCTAAGTGTCTGGTGTTTAACACTTAATGGAATAGTTGAGACAAATACTGGATTACCAAAACAAAAAACTAATCCTGTCCTTCAGAAAGATCACTTTTGTGGAGCTAACTGCCCTCTTTTGGAAGCACTGCCCAGAGTGGCAAAGCCTAGCTAACTTCACAAAAAGACTACCAGCCAGTTCATTCTCACATATTACCTTGAACTCTTCCCAGGTTTTACCAAGTCTGTCCTCTCCAAATATCTCAGGAACCAAAATAACCTGGAATAGAACCCATTTCCCTGGAAGAAGAACAAGAAGAGGGTGGGGGTGCCAGCATTTACTATGCCAAGTGCTTTCACATTTCAATACATACAATAAAGATAGGAATACTGAGGTTTAAAGAGAATATTCCCAGGGACCAGCAGGTGGCATGGTGGTTAAGGGGCTGGACACTCCTACAAGGCCGACCAGGGTTCAAGTCCCTGAACCTGGTGGCTTGCTTTCTCAGTTTCCTTTCTCTTTCTCTCTCTACCTCCATTTCTCTCTGGTCAAAAAGAAAAAAGAATGAATAAATAAAATTAAATAAATAATTTTTAAAAAATAAATAAATAAATAAAGAGAATATTCCCAATGCAAAGTCGGTAAACAGGCAGAGCTGGTCCAATTCCAACTGAGCAGAAATGCTGCCTTTTGCTTACAGGGTCTAAGTGTCACATAGTTTTCAATCCACATTAGAATCTCCTCAAAGGTATGTTCCTAGAATGGAATGGGATGGTGAGGGGAGGTCTATAACTAGGATATTAAAAGCAAGAGAACATTTCCTGCATCCTTCAACTTTACTCATTACCCCTAAGGTCTAAGGGTCTAAAAGACATATCTTAAAATTGTCCATGGGTGAAAAACAATTATTTCAAAACAAAATCCACGAGTTCAGGGAGCTGGGTTCTGTTTTAATACATACTTATTTCTTCCTCTATAAAAGGGCATTAAGGAGAAAGACACCAATTCAACATTCTTCCAAAATGCAATGATTAAACAGGGGAAAAAGGGGTGGTTTCAGGTCTTCCCCAAAGGAATCTACACACTCCACTTCCCTGCTGCTGCTGCAGTTAGTACTACTAGTCAAAGCAAGAGGTGCTTACTGTGTGCCAAATGGCCTGGGTACGATCCCAAGCAATCCTCACAGCTATCACATGCTCCATGCCATTATTAACCTCACTGTACAACAGATGAGGAAACTGAGGTTTGGAGAGGCAAAGCACTTGCTAAAGGTCACCCGGCTTAGTCTGGTTAGAGTAAGCCACACGATCTGTAACAGGGAAGCCAGCACTCAACCTAGATCTGACTGTCAGCATCCTGGCATTGCTGGTTTATAGAACTGCCAACACTAAGCTGATTATTTATAGTTCTTCCCCTGCAAATGAGACTCAAATCAGGAGAAAGAAGAGCTCCCCACATACTACACCTTGAAATTTAAGGGCAAAAAAATACAGATCAGTCTTAGTCATTCCCAAATGCTAAAAGTAAAATGTAGAGAACAGCAGCTTCAAACAGATGAAGGTTTCTCTAAATTCAGATAAAAGGATCCTGTAAGAGTCTAAGAACTGAAAGTGATGGGTACTCACTTGGAGGTTGGCAATACCTTTCTCTAATGTCAAGAACTCTGGAAGGAGTTGTATTTAAATGCAACAGCAAACACAACATTAAAATATATTGATAGGATTATTTTAAATGTTTTAGTAAAACCTAAAAGGAAAATACTGTTATTTTTATATACATTTTTAGGCTAAAACTTGTTTCTAAAAAAAAATCTCAGTTAAAATTAAATTTACTTATGAGTTATCATTCAATACTATATAACTGAAAGTATAGAAAATGTGGTAAATGAGACCCAGTGATATTAAGCAGGTAGGTTAACCAGAGCATGATTATGAAATTAAAGACACCATTCTGTAATAAATGTACATCTACTTTATTTCTATGTAATTCCAAAAACCTGACTTCACACCCTCAAATTCCCTCCTGTAGCATATTTTTCTTTTTTTCAAATATGATCTTTTAATTTGTTAATAAAAAGATTTTAAAATAAATTCTAATGCCACAGCTGCCGTTTTGGCAGTGAGACTGTCACACAGTGAGCTGGTGTTAAAAGATCAGATTAAGAGCCTTCAGTCCTGGCACAAAGTGACGCTTGCAGCCATGCAAGAGTGATTTTCCATGCCTCTGAAGAGACAGGAAATAGAATTCATCTTCCTCTAATAACCTGCCTCCTTCCCTCCCTCCAGATTACAGTCCATCTGGCCTCAGGGAAGAAGCTAGGAGTCTGATGCTCACAGAATGCCCAGAAGAGGAAACAAGGTGGGCAGTGTTCAGACACAGAACATCAGAGGCCCAGATTTGACGGGAACAAACTTGTTTGTAGCCCACACATTAAAAGACAGGCACGCACCTTAGGAAACTAGAAAAAGCAAAGCAAATTAAATCCAACGCAAACAGAAGAAAAGACACACAAAGAATTAGGATTTAGAAAACCATGACATAGGTCATTTTACACGAATCAAGGCTTTCAAACCAAGAAATGTCAAAGCATTAGGGAAATAAACAGTTAAGTGGTTAGAGTATGACGCCAAGCTTCCCAGACTAACATGGAGAAAAAGAATTGCCAGCATCTCCCCATGGCTTTCCTCTATGAGATGCAACTTCCTTAGCCAATTAATTCTAGTCCAGTCTTGCACAGCACCACGACCATTCTGTTCCTACTTGGCTTGTTCACACCAACAACTTAACTCATGGGAAAATGACTTATTTGGCAAATAAGCTCCACCAACACCCCCTGGATCTCCTTCCACTTCGAACCCACAAAACCTGCAGCAACAGCAAGAGAATAAAGTTGCCTCACTGAAACACAGATAGGGGTCTGTGCCTACAGAGGACCAAAGTCCAATACCTCCAGAAATAACTCAAACTTTTCCCTGCTAGCTTGGGATTTGGTATCTCAGCCTGGCTACAGCTCTGAGGGTGACATATTTCTTCCCATTCTCCACCTCCATAAAGCAGAGCTGCATAAAGTATGAAATTCACCTGAGCAAGCAAGGGGCAGCAAGGTTTCCTAAAGAAATGCAAACATGGGGGCCTGCAGGTGGTGTAGTGGTCAAGGCACGGGATTCCCACATGGCCTACTACAGTTTGCATCTCAGATCTGGTGGCTTGAAGATCACACCAGGCACATATGCACGCGTGCCCAAAATCCCAGGAGAAGGGCTTACGGTGTAGACATCCCCCCTCCCTCTCCCTCTCTCTGTCTGTCTCTGGCAGCTCATGTGCCCTAGGGATTAAAAAAAAAAGAAATGCAAATATGCCCCTTGACTCACTCTTAGACCAAGCCATCTAATCTTGTCACAAGCAAATCCTACATAAAATAGGTAAATAGGAATATGACTGGTGGTGGTTCTGCGGTCACAACTAAAAGGAAGAAAAAAAATACATCTTTGTGTTTTGTGTGTTTTGGGGTGTGTGTGTGTGTGTGTGTGTGTGTGTGTGTGATCCAGAATTCAGGATGTTTGTCAGCAGGCTTTGTGAATATGAGTGCTTCTTCTTCAATATGTACCTGATGAAAGGTACCCATGGTTACCCTAGTCCAACCCAGTTCTGACCAAATAAGATGTCAAACACAGCAATCTGCATATCTATAATACACACTCATGCTCAAACACTGGCTGCAGGCTAACCTCAGTACAAGCCCACTGGTAAACAGGTGGATGAATGGCCCTTCTGAAAGGCAGTGACACAACACAAGACACAGAACAAGTGAAAGGGTGGGGGAAAGCGTTTCAGTGCCTTCTCAGCCCACAACACAAAGCACTATGGGTGCAGGAAATGTACATACTGTTAGTTTTTTCCTTCTTGAAGTCGACCTTACCTGAGCGAATGAAGGATTCTGTAAACCAGAAGCCAACACTGCTGTTTTACCAATACTCTAAACTTTGTAACTACCAAAAGCACACGAGCAAAGAACAAAGGTGGAGGGGGGAGCCACAAGGAAGCCACAAGTACTAGAAACGCACCTCTTCATTGCACACTGTGTGTGTATGCTGACAATGTGCACTGCTCCTGGTAGCGAACAAGAGAAAACTAATGAACCGTGTGCCAGGCCTTGGCAATGTGCAAACGGCCCTGTTACCAAATCCTGATTTTAGGAAAAGTGGCACTCAGAGAAATGAGTCCACTGAATCAATCTTGCACATCTTTTCCCGGAAGTACTGACCACACATATTATTCCTGTAATTGGTAATAATAAGTAACTTTTTAAAAAGCAGTGAGCCAAAAGTTACATTAGTTTGTTTACTATGTAAAGCCCTTCAACTATTTGATATGTCTTCTGCCAATTCTTAATGCCCAGTGACAAAAGTGTAGAACAAGCTCTTGTCTTCCTGGCAATTTTTCAGTCTACACTATGATATGCCATTATGACAAACGGGCGTAAATATGGACAATGCTACATCATGAAATGACAGCAAAATATTTTAACAATTGAATTGCGCTTAGCACATTAGAAAACATTCCATTACATAAACACATTTAAATTATGTTCCACTGAATGTTAATAAGGTGTAGGGACTGGAGTGAGAACATTGTATCTAAAAATGTGAAAAACAAACACCAAGAAATTGGGCAAGGCTGGGGAGGTCATTCCACAGTCCTTTTTCTGCAATGCCATTTCTAAAAATGACAACGCCTAGCCCAAAGCCTTGAAATCAACTACCTTACCTCTTGGGACAGGAAAGGAATGACTTGTGCACAGATAGCATTCAGCCTCTTGACAATCTCTGCCTGCAAAAAGAAAAAAAAAAAAGGAAAGCAAAGCAATAAAGACAACAGTCAGCTGGTTATAGATTCCCAAAATATTAACAGGATGATATTAAAACACATTTAATATTCTGACTGACTATTTGCTAAGAAGAAAACTATCTCATCAGCAAGCCCATTAAAAGGAGGCAGTGACAACGGTGCCACATTAATAGCACAATTTATTAACCAGCATTCATTTTAAAAAGTTAACCTTCAAGCACCAGGGCAATATAAAAAGGAATTTAATTTTCATGACAGGAAATCAGTTTTCAAAAGCCTTCACTAGAACCCCTGTCCACTCGGTCGTAGTTTTTCATAAAATTCTAAGTTTTTAAAAGTTTAGATGGTAAAGATGCATTCTTCCCTACATCCCAACTCTTAAAACGAATATGGCCTTTGCTTTAAACACTAGCACTGGGATTTTACACGCAAATCCCTAACCTCCTAAAAGAATAGCACCAAATCAACCCAAGTCAATTGATTTCTTCAGTTTCTTAGTTATAAATTGTTGAGAAATGGGGTATTTTCTTTTATTATAAATATTTCTAAATGTGCCCTACCAGAATTTTCAGTGCATGGTGGTTTAGAACATGCAAAATTCTACTAAACTTCTACTAAGTTTAGGAGAAAGCAATCCGTGTGCACCTGGGGACGAGCCTAAGGAACATGATCATTTTCCTCTAGATCTGTAACAGTCCCAACAGTGTCAAGCAAGAGTTTATTCCCCAAAAACTTTTGAAAGTATAGAAATTTAATACTAATGCGATGCTACAGGAAGAGAAGGCAGACAGGCAGGCTACCACTGCATGTTTTCCTTAACAAGCTACCCAGAGCTTTACTAAGTCCATCTTAATTTATATTTTCATACGATGCCTTACCTGAACACACACATACAAAGTAGCTTAAATTTTAATGAGGGGGTAGGGGAAAGAAGAGGTGACAAGTGTGGAAAAGCAGAAAATGTAAAGCAATTTCTACTCCTGAGACAGTCTTAAATTTCATCCAGAGGTCAGTTCCTCATTTCAAGAGGACAAAAATGCTCTTTTTCTTGCTAAGTCATTACCAGAGTGACAGTGACACTCTACCGTGCAATCTAGGCTTCCTTCTTTCATCAGCAACCCTTGTGACTTTTTAGCTACGCAATCTTTTAAACGCCAGCACCGTAAAAACTTTGCCAGCCAAGAGAAAACACAAATTCACCATGAAGTTTCCAACCTAAGCTTTCCATTCCAGCCTGCATTCCTAACAGGATGGACAAAAACCCAGCACCAATAAGCAGCAGTGAATAAGGACCCAACTGTGCTGACCTGATTTAATTTACTGCACTGGCCCCATGGAGCATTTAGCCATCTTTTAAGAATGCTTAAACCACCATGAAAAGCTGCAATGGGAATCACCAAACCAACTCTCCACCTGGACGAACATACCACAGTGGTTATGGGGTGAAATTCCAGGGTGAGCTAAGAAAATAGAGAGGCATTCACCAGGCTGAAAGCACTGCCTCTCAAAGGCATTTGGTTGTTAAGCTTTTTGTAAGGAGAGGTGGAGGGGGAGAGAATAAAAGATAATGAGACACTTTGGGGCAGACCAAACTGATGATTCTAATGCTTAGAACCATCTGCCAAGCATATTTTCCTCATTATGTTGTTTACATAAATAAAATAGTCCCTTGCTAGGAGGGTTGAAAAATGTGTGGGCACATAAGAAAACTGAGTTCTTTAGTTTGCCTACATAATCTAGGCAATAAAAACTACTCTAAAGAAACTTACTCCTCTGGCAGACTAAAGGCCAAAAGGTATCTGGCTCCTTAACTTAGGACCTAGGCTATTTTAAGTCTGAGCAACTACTTAAGACAAAAACAAAAGCATAAACAAAAAACTCTACACTTTCTTAAAAATAAATGTAAAAAGGAGAAGTCTTTTCACTGAATCACGTATGTTAACACACACATAACAGAAAAAGGAGGACAGAAACCGTCCGGGGTTTTTTTTTTCTTTAAAGGTCTGCTTTTGTTTATAAAAGACTTCTTAATTTCTTTAAGTTGTCATGCCAATGGATTTTCATGGTCAGGCTAATTGGCAGGAGGCGGGAGTGCAGTGTGTGTGATTTCATAAAATTAAGCAGATCATTCCTCACTTTGAAAGCTGAAGTTGCCTCGGAAACACTGCTGCTTCCATGGTCATCTAATTTTGCCTCTTTTGTCCCACAGGACCCAGCTTTAGGGAGGCATCATTTATTTACAGGCCTTTCCGTGGGCTTCAGCGATCAGCCAATAATACTGTGGACACACACTTCTAATGGCCTATGTTTTGAAACTGAGTCTAATCTAATGGTGTGGGGCCCAAACTCCTTTTCCAGCACAGCCATTAAAGGATGTAGGTTATTGCTGTTGTCACCATTGATATTTGTCATTGTAATGTAATTAGGGCCCTAAAATGATGCATTACAGCCCTTGGCACAGCTTCTATTAAAATCTTTTCTTCTGCTCACTGAACTGCGACCTGCTTTCTGATGAATAACAGACAGACAGCTTTAGGGTAAGGAGCAGATTCATCAAAGAAGTATTTTTCAGCTTTGGGAAAAGAGAAAGGAAAAAAAAAAAAAAAGGCAACCTAGGAGGAAAAGCACTAGGGGAGGAAAAGCCACAATACACATTTGAATTTCATCTGACCACTTGAAATTCTGATTGCATCTGATGAATCTTGCTTAGACAATATATTCCCAGTCTTCGAATCACATGGTTAATCAGAGCTCTAATCTGCTATCCATCAGCCTATGCCAGCACTGCAGCTTCCAATCAAATTTATAGGTGATGTGGGTCATGCATCCCTGAGCAAGTACATTCACAGAGCGCCCACTTAAACAGGCAGAGACTCTGAAAGACTGCTGTTAGGGTTACTGGATGTTGTAATAGCATTCGAAGTTTTATGGACACTGCCAAACTACTGCCTTTAGATGCCCACAGTATTATTCCAAAATAGCATTAATGGCTTGCTCAAGTCAACATGTAACAAAACGATCATTTTGGTAGTCATACTTTGTCAAACTCATTCACAACTTTCGGCACTTCCCCTATTCACCAAGATATTCATGGGGGGGGGGAGAATTGTACACATAATATTTTCTACCCTCAACGCAATACCCTATTTCTTCTTCCTATCTTTCTCAACTTCATACCACAGTCCAATAAAAACAGCCAATGAAATGACCACCCCTGCAAAAAAAAAAAAAGGCATTCTAATGGAAATCCCTTGGCTATGCACTCAACCCCTGGCACAAAAAAAGCCAACAGGGTAATTCTAAAGTGGCAAGGGTCAGTGGATCAGCAACATGACTAGTTAGTAATAAATGGAAAGACACCAAGGAGAATGTTTTATCCCCTTTTCCTTCACACTCCAGCACTCAAGAATCATTGGAAAAATTATTAACTACTTATACCATGAGAAAGAGATGGCATCCATTGGAAAGAATACCATAATTCAACCACTAAGATTAGAAGGTAACACATACCAAAACACACAATATCAAATACACATTGTTCACTACTCATAAGGTATTACACCGGTCACATTTAAACCCAAACTAATTGAGTGTATACTTGAATTGCAGGGTCCCAAAACTGACTGGATATAATAAATCCAATTTTTATTTAGATTACTTCTGCTTATACATTTTTCTTAAAAGAAAACAAAAAACCTTTAACACAAACTTGCTATCGATAGCAATAATTTCATTTTAGTAATCAAAGAGATGTACCACAAGAAGTTGTTGGTTTGAAAAATGTTTCATGGTGTTTTGGGTCTCATCAAAATAGGAATAGTACTACATATGTATTGGTGAAATGAAACAGAATAACAAAGCACTATTAGGAAACCCTATTTTAGCAGCCAATTTAAAAAAAAAAAAAAAAGCGATTATAGTTCCAGGAAAACATTCTTGAAGAATAACATTTAACCATTTGTTAGTTTTTTCTAACAGTTTCTTTGCCAAAATTTTTGGTAAAAAGATGACTCCATTTTATTAAATATTTATCAAAAATGTATACCCACTTATTGTATATGAACACTTAAAAAAAGAAAAAATATATAGACAAAAAGTTATTTATCTTGCCTGGCTGGAATCCCTTTTTGGAACAAACATGAATCTTGTAACCTTTGTCCTACCTCACCTTACCCCTACAGAACTTAGACTGTAATTTTAAAAAGTTTAAATCACAAAATAAATTATTTTGATTTGTTCCAACTTTTCTAACTTAACTGTACAACTTCTGAAACTGATCTTGCCTGACACTCTACATTAAAAAGAGGACTAATGAGAAATTCTAACAATAAAAATCCAGACTAAACATAAGGGAAAATATTCAAGTAGTACTATTTCTGTAAACTGACAACTCAGTGGTATCTCATCATCAGAATTCAATGTTACAAAAGAAATGAGAACACATAATGGATAAAACTAATTTTATGTACTTAAAAAAAAAAAAGAAGGCCAGACTAAAGTAAGGCTTGAAGATTTAGCCCAAAGGTATTGTCAAGCACTGTAAATAAACTGGAAAACCAGATGCCTAAGTTTTACTGCCATTCAGATGCTTATTTTATGCAAAATACTCATTTTTGCTAACAAAGCAATAAATGAAGTGATAACATTATAGAACTGATTTAGTTGGACATCTACCAGTTTCCTAAGGATCTGATTCAAGCTACACTTGCTTTTGCAAAGTATTAAGACTGTTTTTAAAAACTCTACCTATGCCACAGAGAAAGAGGTACTGTCTATGGGTGCCCAATTTGTATTATCTCAAGCAATATATAAGTGCTAATATTCAACCATTTTTTTTACCACCCCCTCCTCTGCTACTCTTCTCCTAGGGAATTTACCCAAACAGTGATTCTACTGACGGTAAGGCAACAGCAGTGTCAATCTAGTTTGTGTTTGGGCTCATATTTAGGCTATTTTACTGCATGTTAATTACGTGTGCCATA